ACATACAAACATGGCAGGTTGCTCAGAATAATTGAAAAATATTATCAGACGAAAGTAGAATACTAGACAAATAAGTAATTGGGATACAGAAAAACTGATTCAACATCATAAGAAAAGTGGTCAGAGAAAACCTGTCTGTGAAAGATTTGCAAAGTGCTAGATTTAAACAACAACTTAAAAACTTAACTTTGTAACGATTTTCAGGACTAAAAGTTGGTACTTGGTTAATGTTTCCTGATAAAAAAAACTAGCCAGATCGGTCCTAGTTAGTACCGTTCTTTATGCTTACACTATTGTGATTTATATTTTAATATAATATAATAATAAATCACAATAGTGTAAGCAGCTTACGTAATGTCTCCATCATATACTTTAAGACATTTATCTGGTTCCAATATGGGACGCAAAACTAGACTCCTTGTACAATTGAAATGTTAAATTATATAATTGGCTGCTTTATCTCAAAAACATTTTTATATCCTTGCATTATTAAACGGTCACAGCAAAGTATTGATGTTTTGGCCAACCGTGTAAACGGGGATGACACCTGCATTCTTATTTTACAACATAAATATAAATTAAAGAATCAAAAAAATATGTTTATATCCGTGCATTATTAAACGGTCATGTCAAAGTATTGTAAACGGGGATGGCATCTCAATACTTATTTTACAAAATAAATATAAATTAAAGAATCAAAAATATTTTTATATCCATACATTATTAAACGGTCATGGCAAAGTATTGTAAACGGGGATGACATCTGCATACTTATTTTACAAAATAAACATAAATTAAAGAATTAATTAACTCTGCAAACTATTGATTAATGGAGCGTAAACGCATCACCCCCGGCCAAGGATATAATCAGCCATGTTTTTGAAGTCCGTATGCATAGTACCCCCATAAATGTGAGGTTGAAAATAAGCTTGATTTTATGGTTATTTAGATAAAATTCAGCTTTGTATCAACTACTGACAATGTTTTACAACCCCAAGTTTTCAATACACAAGTAGCTGTGGGGGTGATTTGAAAAATCAACCTCACATTTATGGGGGTACTATGCATAGGTGTAGTCAAATTCAAAACAAATCTTTTTTTGCTCGCTTATGCCACGGTCGCACTCCCCCCTGACTGTAAATCGATATTTTTTGACGATCGTACCCCCCCCCCCCCCCGACTAAAAGCTGGCTACGCCCCTGGTATGTATTTAAAGAATTAAAAGATTGTCATTATTGACATTTATGAAAAGGTAATTAAGAATTCCTACTTGAAAAAATATTCCACCGTCCTCCACCCACGTTCCCTTGCCAACAATCCTGTCATGGAAATGTCGTAATTTTCCCTTGTTCTGTTCACTCTTTTCAGCAATCTTAACTTTATATCTGTCCACATCCTCTTGAACATGCTTTCGAGTCTGCTCTTTTCTTTCCTCTGCTCTGTTTTTATGTCTTTCGGCGTTCTTTCGCAAATGGTGTTTTGCCAAACTAAACGGATTACATTTAATATTTTGTGCAGTGTCATACCTGTCTGTTGAATCCTTAATGTCAAGAGCAATGTTTATATCAGTTCTTGAAATGCTATTATTAATGTTTTCCATACTTCCACATGCATTTAGTTTGAGGTCTGGTTGTAGTAAGGCTACTTTGATTGATTGAAGTTCTTGCTTTTCTTCTTTGCAGATTTCTCTCATTATTATTTAGGCATTTTAGATTTTATTTCAGAATTAGTGTATCCACCTCAAATCTCTGGTATAATTCTTTTATGTCATCTACCATATACCCCATCTATTGAAAAGCTCCACATCCTATGACATTATTAACAGGTCAGAGTAACATTAGTCCTTTTCCATTTGCCATAATTATCTTTATTAGTTATTGTTAGCAAAGTATCGTATTGTTCCTTTAGGTACAGGTTGGCTTTCACGGCCTCTATTTATAATTATGTAGCCTAGTTTTATGTCTCAGCAACCAATGATTTTAAGCATGTACATTTTTAGTCATTTGCAAACATCCGACATTCTCCATATTGATGCAATTTTGCAAAAGTTGCGCCACTTTCTGTAAAGGGTGACGGAAGTACTGAGTGGAATGGGGATTTCTAATGATCGGAGCATGCATTCATAACTTGAGAATGCCACCTTCTTGAAATTATGCTCGTTTGTGTGAAAGAGATAAAGCACGTTTCGTTCAATCTGAGACCCCCAAGCATTTATTACTTTGCCACCTTTAATGATCTTAGATACTTCACATCTAATTATAATGTGAATTAATAAAATACGTGCTCAATATTTGTTCACATATTTTACGAGCTCTTAAATATCAGGTAAGTCAAAATAAAACTAAAACAAGTGAACAGCTGCTGTATGTTGAGTTTGTAAATCTCAAAGTGCTTTAAGTATATTAATGTATATGAATGTGTGAGCTATAAACATTTATTCTTTATCAATAAGCGAATTCAAACAAAATGCTTCAGTCCAGAAATTCCAAAAATGAGCGTAAGAACGCATGTTTCTTATGAACAATAATTCTTGAAATATTGCTTCAGTTTTAATATGTTACTTAGTTTGCCCATATCGTTGCTCTTTTCACGTATTCCAGATTGTTCAAAACTCACTCGACTGGGCATCACCGGTGCCTCACTCGCAACTTATTATTACGGGGCGTCATTTCTGCCCGGTAACATGATTCGACATACCAAGTTAAATTGTGGCTTAGTTGTGACTGTGTATAAATGCCTCTTGTTCAATTATTACTCTTTTCAAAGCTGATTTCCTTCAATTTCCCCAACTTAGAGACTTGGCCAAGCAAAACAGTAACTGCCGGGCATATACTGTCAAGTATACCCCAAACATATTCCTTCCTTTGTTTCTTGCTGTCAATTACAGGGAAATACCAAATAGAATCATAAAACGCTTAATAAAAGAAACAACCAGCCATAAAGAGAACAAAACCCCAATATCCAAAAAATGTCTTATTAGATTCCTCAACCCATCTTGATAAACCTTGACATCTCATTTCTTCTCAGCCCTGAGCATGTTTCAAGTGAAACAGAAAGATGCTATGAGTATCAGAATGTCGTCAACCATTCAAGAATCACTATCACAATCCACATCCATGAAAGCATGGGATATTGACAATATGGACATAAATTAACCTACATTTATGCATGTTATGGAACAATTTGAATCGTTATAAAATAAGTTATGTTGTCATCAACATTACCAATTTTAGGCCTCTATTGATCATATCAATCAAAATTAGTATTGATATGTTGGTACAATTTCTTCGTGTTTATTGTATGAATGAATTATAGGCTGTTAACTACTCAAATATGAAATCCAATGAGTGAATTTTCTTGTTATTACACAATTGCAATTGTAGAATCAATTTCGAATTCCCATGTGTCTTGATTAAGATTCAACTATCACACTGGCCTCATTTTCCGAATTGATATTAAGATATTTTGTCCAATCATGGATTCTGATAAAAAAGAATGAAAGCAATAAAACAAATATTTCATTCTATGTTCACGCATTTCGTCTTAAATTTCAATGATTTTGCAAAGCGTATTACCCTCAACCTTTAGCCAATACGAAGATAAACCGGTATTACCTATAGAATAAATAATTTTCTAACCATATTCATTTTACGTATGATTGTTAGTAAAGCCACTTTGATGGATCGAAGATCGTGTTTTCATTCAATACTTAGTGCTCTCTTTGATTCGGGAGGCATTTTAGATTTTATTTCAGGAAGTAATTTGTCCATCATGAGATTTATCGATGATCATTTGACAAGGCCTCACCTTTCGAAAAGCTTTCTATAAATATTTAACCTCATAAGTCGGTTAATAACATTGCAATTAATGTTTTCTAATTGTTTGCAATCCATCATCATCCCGCTTGGTATTGTTAACAAAGCATAATAGGCTTTAAAAGCCGTTTCATCATGTAAATATTCTAGTATTAGACATAAACACTCCATTGCATAAGGAGGTTCATTAAATAATGTTCTCTTACTATGACATTACTAAATCCATGGATTTGAATTTCTACATTACAGAGTTTCTGTATAATCTGCTTATTAATGCAATCATTTTCAAGAGCAACTTTCTGTAATTTGTTTTGAAAGTACGATGTTGAATTGTCTTCAGTGCGTGATTTAAAGTGAAGATCATTTGATGTAGGAGATGTCCTAGATGTCACCTTCACGTATGTATGGAGAAGAGATCGAGCACGTTTCGATACAACTGGTGCAGGGGGCATAACTACTTTGTCGGGTTTAATGAATATTTTGACAAAAATGGGCGGCAGTCGATTAATTTTACTAGAAATATATATTAAGACCAAATGAGATGATTTGCTTGATATATCTGGTGTTGCAGATTTCTTAAATTAGCAAATCAGGGTAAACAAGCAGTTCTGATAAAACGGAAATAACTTATACTCGCATGTTGGAGAGCTTTGTAAACCCCAGAGTGTTCAATAACGGTAATATCAATATGTCAAATATGAACAGTACTTCTCATTAATGATGAATTCTTTCAAATAGTAAGTTAAATCAAATATGACTTATCATCGGCTAAGAAACGATGTAGTACTTACAATCATGGTTCTAGGACCAGTGGACTATGTTTTATTCATATAAATCATAAGGCATTTTTTCATGTAAGCCTACATTTGTAATTACAGGTGTAATAAGCGTTCATTTTTGATCCACTGGGCATGTATTTTCTTTGACAACAAACATGAATGATAATATTTCTGTTTAATGATATCTTATATTGTGCCATACATTGTCATTCCAAGGTTTCCATGGATGTATCATGATGAAATAAACAATTACGTAAATAACGTGAATTTATTTACGTACTTCTACAATTTAAAACACTTTGACTTTTTCGTCAACCGATATCAAAAATCTAAACAGAGATAAAACTAGCGTCACCAATTTTGCAAATGCCTTTTTGCACACAATATTGTATAACATTGACCTTACCCTCAGAATCCTGAGTGGACTTTCTTCAATCCGACAGATTTCGCCAACAGTTTCATCACCAGGTGACAAAGAAATATCCATTGTTTTAACTACAACTCGCTCCTTTTCCATGTTTCCCACTGACTGTCGTCCCAGAATTTTCCCCAATAGTCCCGATCTTGTAAAAATCCCGGAGTTGCTCTCCGTCATACGCTTGTCCTGCTTATGGTGCAATTTCTTCTTGAACGTTCGAGTCATCATCTGAACGTGGAACATCCAAAATAATACATTTCTCGGGGATGATCGTTGTCCGTGTCAATGTATTGAACATGTGTCAACATCTACTTGATTGAGTGTCCTTACATTGAGTAAGATATTAAGTAATGAAGTAAGTTGCGTGAACGATAAGAGTGTTTCACAACAAAATTACCTATTCCACCCCCAGAGAAAGACAATTTAAAAATGAATAATTTCCTCGACCCAATTTATTACCGGCTATTATATGCTATCATTTTATTCTGCAAATCATGACACAAATATATCAAGGGTGCATTTATTTCAATAAGTATTCACTTAGGTCTCGAAATCAATTACTATCCAGCGAAGTAATTCTAAGCCTAACTACTTAATTTGCTGCTGTTTATTAATTAGGGAAGGACTGATTTTCACAACCTGAAATGGATTTGTAACGACCCAACCATATTTTGTGCCGTTACTTTTATTTTTATTTATTAATTAGATTTGTAATTAAATAATTTAATGCATCATTATTGAGAAGATATTCCTCTTATTGTTAATGAGTTTTTCTCAGACATCAAAACAATCTATTTTTAGCGACTGTGTAATACTTTGTCAGTTTGCAGATTCACTGTTTAACACCTTGTAATTGTGTCTATAAAACTCTCCATTTGATTTTGTACAGTGATTATTTAGCCACTGATGAGATTCTGCCAGTTCCTAGCTTGTTCACAGCTCTGATCAAGTTATCTGTCTCTTCTGCTGGGATTTTGCAGGGACAAGATGTAGTTTTAGTTTTCTCATTTTTATCTTCGTTTAATGGATTTAATCACCTTTTTTGGATATTATTTGGATCAATCAGTATTTTGGTAAGCTCATCATCTTTTATTTCATTCTTGTTCATGTAATTTTATGCTAAAATTCACATTGAAAAGAGAAAAGAATTCGAAATGAAAAACTCATCAGTTTATTCAACTTTAATACCTGCAGGATCCCAGGATGAGCAGTGGCAAATTCTTTTATTAAATGAACACTGTTATTTACATTAATTGATTTTATTTTGGAAGTCATGGCTGGCATTGGAATGTTGCTGTCTTTCTGCGCTACCCCCTCCCGCTCGGCCGAGCGTTGGGAATGTAGCTGCACTAGGAGCGATCAACCAACCTAGCAGCGCTGCCAGTTCTCCCTCAGGAGAGCGGCTAAGAAGTCGCAACATGACATTGCATTTATCTGCGCTCCTTCAGCCTTCTCACCTATTAGCGCATCTGTAATTCTCCTTGATCTGTATTACATTTCATATTAATTCTTGGAATATTGTTTTCTTTATTATCATCAAGCAAATCCATGTAATTTTAGTAAATAAAAGTTATGTTCTATTATTTGATATTAAAATTAAATTAATTAGTCTGTTTGCTTTTTCCCGTTTGGCGGCTTCAGTGAGGGAGCGTCATTTGGGGATTACCCGTGGCGCCCCCGGGAGTAGGTTGTGCTATTTTATTTGCTACGCTACCACCACTTATAAGCAAAGAGCGCACTGCCCCTGGGGTGCTACATTGGTCAGGCAGCGGTGGCATCGAGCGCCTTCACAGTGCCGCTCTTGTAATTGTGCAGCTTGATTGTGCTGAAATATGCGCATTTGATTGTACTGCATTATCCCATGGTTGTGACATGGTGATTTTAGTCACGCCACATGCATAAGAGCCGGTTCCTTTGGCTATTGGTAAGCCTTAGGATTCGTCAATTTGGATCGCACTTACATATGCTGATTCTTACCATTGTGTACTGTGTACATAGTAGCTTAGTGCGCATTTTGTACCATGTACATGTATACTGCAGCTAAGATGATCATTTTGTACTATGTACATATATCTGGGGAACTGATGCCTGATGATTTACCTATGTACTATGTACATCTTATTTAATGAAATGACTTACATCTTGTGATTCGGATGTTTTAATTGGGGATTATCACGATAGATGTTGCTATTTGTTGCAGTCTGTAAGCCAATGGATTGCGCCATAAGCATACTTCATCGCATTGTATTACATGTATGTGTACGTATTTCATATCTTCACCTTACGCTGGCGGATATACGTATCCTACGATATGTATCCAGGGAAGATTGAAAACTTGTGGAATGATGCCGAAATATGATGGCCTGCGTGCAGAAAATCATGCATCATTTCACACATATCCAGGCTAAGAGTTATTCGCCTTTTATAGTGCGCTTGCATCACCCGAGCTGCACTTTGGTTGAACACTTTTGGAATGAACAGGATATTGCCTGAGCTGGAACATGTTAGGAACCACAATGGCTCTACAATCCAGTAAAGTTGTTGCAGACAAGGAGCGTCCAGTTTCCTTTGAGGCGAGGGTAATATCTTGTAGTCAGTAGACTTTTTAAGCAGCTGTCTCGGGAAAGCGCAACGTCTCATGTGTATTGCGCTCATGTCACCAGACATTCAATGATCCACCCCTCTTGATTTCATTGTGTGTCTGCGGAATACATTTCGCTTGGATTGATCACCCCAGCGAAGCTGAGATGTAAAAATCTAGCACTAACTCATGGCCATCGCAGTAGAGCTGTGTATCACATTAGCTCCTGCTGGAGTGCTTGATTGTGTTAACCCTTGGCTAACAGTTGTTTGGAGCTTGGTCACATAATTTGTGCTGGTCCCAACCTCCACTAGGACGTCTGTCTTGTGTGCAGAAGGCTATCTAGAGGTAAGAGTGGACCCCAGGAATGGTGATCACGATGCTATGTAAATGAAATGAATGAAGACATATACTTCACCCCTCAAATTCTAATCAAGTAGCCTGCATAGCTCATGTGCCATTTGAAACCTGGGTTGGTTTCCCCATCTAGTGCCGGACCACACCGGATGCGCCAGGCTGGGTTGGAGCCGGGAGTGGACCCTCCCTTAGGCGCGGGTGGAAATGACACGGGGACAGAAGCAATGGCCTCTAATTTGTGACACCGAGTGGACCTGGGGCACCTTGTGAAACATTTGGCTTATCATGCGCTGTGATGTGTGCAGGAAGGACCTTTCCACAGAGTATCTGTAGCAGCCAGTGTTTCACCCTGATGACAGAATATGCAATGCGCTTTGAATTATGAAGCCTGCAATTGCCTGTCTGCTAACTTTCACTGAGCGGCAGTGATGATGTCTGCCAGGATCTTTGCTGCTTGTGATTAATAGCGCTTATGTAATTTATTTATGTTATTCATTTATTTCTAATTTTTGTATAAAAATATTTTAAAGACCTGATATCTGACAGGCTGAGCATAGCTACCACCTGTATGGTGGATGATAATTTAAATATTTAATACACTTTAACAAGCTATCTTGTAATTTTAAGCTAGTATTAATTTGTACTAAACTTAATGTAGCTGTATTTTAGATAAGTTTTAAACATCTTGTCTACCACTCTTTTTATTAGTATTTTCAGGTGTTTGTCTCACTATCCAAACAAATCTACATTATGAACACTCAAGGATCAACAGCGAGAACTGCGTTATGAACAATCCAGTGATAAACCATATGTAGGATCCAGTGACTTATTATTGTAGGAACAATCTGGCCAGGATCTCCTCAATATATTGCTCCAGTGATATACAATGGGAATAATCCAGTGATTGACTCTGAGGAAAATCTAGAGATCTACGCATACATAATGTATATTTATCGATAGCAGCTGCCTGTGTGCGCTGAGCCAGCGCTCCAATTGATTACATCCATCCATCACTTGGTGGAGCAGCAGGGCAAATGCCTGGATTATTTTAAAATGGACATTGTAGTACTTTTATGTAAAGTTTTTTCATGGGCATTTGATGTATATTTAGAGTGGTAGTCAATGACTATATATTTTAAAGTTTTGTGAGGTTAGGCCATGCCTTTCAAAGAGGGGAGGTATGTAACGACCCAACCATATTTTGTGCCGTTACTTTTATTTTTATTTATTAATTAGATTTGTAATTAAATAATTTAATGCATCATTATTGAGAAGATATTCCTCTTATTGTTAATGAGTTTTTCTCAGACATCAAAACAATCTATTTTTAGCGACTGTGTAATACTTTGTCAGTTTGCAGATTCACTGTTTAACACCTTGTAATTGTGTCTATAAAACTCTCCATTTGATTTTGTACAGTGATTATTTAGCCACTGATGAGATTCTGCCAGTTCCTAGCTTGTTCACAGCTCTGATCAAGTTATCTGTCTCTTCTGCTGGGATTTTGCAGGGACAAGATGTAGTTTTAGTTTTCTCATTTTTATCTTCGTTTAATGGATTTAATCACCTTTTTTGGATATTATTTGGATCAATCAGTATTTTGGTAAGCTCATCATCTTTTATTTCATTCTTGTTCATGTAATTTTATGCTAAAATTCACATTGAAAAGAGAAAAGAATTCGAAATGAAAAACTCATCAGTTTATTCAACTTTAATACCTGCAGGATCCCAGGATGAGCAGTGGCAAATTCTTTTATTAAATGAACACTGTTATTTACATTAATTGATTTTATTTTGGAAGTCATGGCTGGCATTGGAATGTTGCTGTCTTTCTGCGCTACCCCCTCCCGCTCGGCCGAGCGTTGGGAATGTAGCTGCACTAGGAGCGATCAACCAACCTAGCAGCGCTGCCAGTTCTCCCTCAGGAGAGCGGCTAAGAAGTCGCAACATGACATTGCATTTATCTGCGCTCCTTCAGCCTTCTCACCTATTAGCGCATCTGTAATTCTCCTTGATCTGTATTACATTTCATATTAATTCTTGGAATATTGTTTTCTTTATTATCATCAAGCAAATCCATGTAATTTTAGTAAATAAAAGTTATGTTCTATTATTTGATATTAAAATTAAATTAATTAGTCTGTTTGCTTTTTCCCGTTTGGCGGCTTCAGTGAGGGAGCGTCATTTGGGGATTACCCGTGGCGCCCCCGGGAGTAGGTTGTGCTATTTTATTTGCTACGCTACCACCACTTATAAGCAAAGAGCGCACTGCCCCTGGGGTGCTACAGATTTCTTAATTCTTAATTTAGTAACTAGCTCGTAACGTTCAAGATTGTTTATTGCAAGATGATAAAACTGCACGATATTTGACATGTTGTCTCGGTGATACCTTAACAGAGATATGTCAGTTTGATATTATTCTTATTAAAACTTTTTTAACTTTTATTGACAGACTGATGCATCTCTTACGTGGCCTTTGACCACGAGGCACACTTAGTTGAAATCGACTTGTAATTTCAATTGGCCAATAGCAAAACAAATTTGCATCTAGAAGAATATCAAGATTAGATCAAGATTAACCAAAGTTTATAATACGAGATATATTTGAAAAGTTTTTTT